CTGCTGAACTGCTCTCCAAGTACACAAAAATACAAGCAAGACTTTTAAATTAACTGGATTGATGCACTATATTCCTAGTTTTGTATGAATTTGGTATCTGAAATATCACTGTTCTGAGACAGCCAATAGAACTTGGAAACTATTCAGCCAGCCTCCAGTTTGAGCGCACAGAAAACCAGAAGCACAGCTTAAAAATACTGGCAGAAACAAACACACTCTGCTTTTTTTTTCCCCCCCAACCTCTGATACAGTGACATCCACACACCTACCTGGTTTGCACAGTGCTGGGGCAGCAGCTGGAGCATTTGTTCTTCCATATGTCCCTGCTGACTCGGCAGGATTCTCTCCCCACCCTGTACCACTGCTGGGGGGCTTCCCCCAGGCTGAAGTGCCATTATCAACTGCAGCAGAAGGGGATGAGGGCTCTCCCCAAGAAGCTTCAGTCTTGGTGTGGACAGTAGGCATTTCTCCCCAGCCTGCTGAAGCAAGGGGAAGCAGAGAAGAACAGTAATGAGAGGGAAGGTTTCTTTTGTCAATAATATTAACGCCTTTGTCTACAAAGAGCATGAACCAGTAAGTACACAGTAACTCTATAACACATATATAAAAAAATCCCTTTGATTTGGTCTGCAAAGTCTTTTCTTAATTGAATACTAATTCCAAGTTGTCAGGACAGAAAGTGTTTTTTGGCATAGCCAGGAGCAGTCAGGCTGCCAGGCAAGCACCAGAGCTGGTCCCAAGGGAGCAGCTGCTTCTAACTTCTCAGAGCAGACCCAACAGGTCTCAGGGAACACACACAGCAGTGTGAGCAGTCAGGAAACCAGGACCCAAACTGGAGTTGGGCCTTGTTTCACTGAAAGATTTTAAGCTATGTTAACTTAACTATCTACAAATTATCCAATCTCTTTTCTCATACTCCACAAGATAATTTGTTTGCTATAGTTTTCAATGTAGGCTTATGTAACATCTCTTAAAGCTTTTATTACAGCTTATGGCTGATGGTGCTCCCCAAGTACCCCTTCAGCACTGAGGGTCTGCATTAGAATAAATACAATACTTAGAGATGTAGGCAAGACTGCAATTGGAATCTACAGTGAAACGTGCCAGGAATGGCCGCAGAGCTTCTGAGTCTAAAGAGCAACACTGATCAACACAGAAAAAGCATAAATTGAATTTTAAATGACCACTAGCTCTTCAAAAAAGTTCTTCTCTCAAAAGACACATCTGGCTCATAGATGCCCGAGTTCAAGGTACTTTTTAAAAATATACAAAAGCACCAGACACATGAAAGGCCAGTGAACACAGTTTTACATATACCGAATAGTAACCTGTTTTTTCTATAATTATCACAAAAAGCTTTACATTACATGACAACTGAGATTTCAAGGTACTGCAGAATTCAGACTACTTAGAACTTCAACTGTTGATTAGGCTGCTAATTCAGGAACTTGTCCTCTTTTCACTGGAGATTAATATTAGTAACTTCAGGTATTTTATACCCTGCCAAGCCCGTAACTTCCAGGAGCTCACAACATGAAAACAGATCTGGAAGTATAAAACTTGGGTTTGCTAATATGCATTGCTACTGTTTTTAACAGATTTTCATAATTTAAGGACTAGATGCCTGCTTTGGTGCAGCACTATTCCTTTTTTTCTCAGTGTTATTTGTAAAAATACCCCAGAAATGTTTTCAGCACAAACAGACACCTAGAGTAGGTACAAAATGGTAAGGATATCACAAAAGAACTTTAAGAGTACCTTGAAATATATTAATCCAACTAAGCAACAGAGTTACACAGAGCAACAAGTCTAGCAGATTTCTTGCTAGACTTCTTTGCAGAATTTACTGATTCCAACAGAATTTCTGTTACTAGAAACTGCTGACAACAAACACCACCAACACTGGCTGGGAATGAAAAAAATTCCTTTCAATTAGATGGGCTCGTGTCTGTTCACCACTGCAGTGTGACCACATTGCATCTTTATTTTAGGCTCTATTTCTTAAAGCAGCTGCAGTTCTCTCAGATACTGATAAAAAGTGTATAAGACATTAAAAAATCCAAACGAAGCCTATATGTTCAGGACATGTAGCTTAATAAAGCTCCTTCACTACCAGCAAGATTGTGTTTCAAAACGTAGAACTGAAACAACACCAAAGTTCCATGTCATGAAATTGATTTCCACTTGAAACAGAAATCCTGTGTTCTGAGCTCTTTCAAAGTATGTCTAAATTTCTAGTTATTTTAAACTGTGTACAGACAACAAACTGGCAGACACAGAGGTTCCACTAAACACAACTTCATTGGTGTTGTACTAAAATACTTATTCGAGCTTTCTGCTTGTATCTTTGAGCCAACTTTATTTCAGGAACACTTTATTTGTATTTCTGCCTCACTGCTCAGAAGGCAACCTTGTCAGGCAACTGCATGTATTTAATCATATTGGCATCTAAAAAAGATTAACTGCAGGCAAATGAAACAGAAAACAAAACATCTCTAAAGCACCAACTAGAATACAGATACAAACAGACAGAGTGCAGAATACTAATGTTTCCCTGGGTTCATATGAACTATACTGGAAATTCCAAGTAATGAAATTTGTAAAATCCACCTTAAAACACAACTTATATATTGAAAAGATAAAAGTCTGCTAGGCTGTAGAGTAAAAACCTCACAAGAACTGGTCCTTCTGTTGCTCTTTACTATAAATGCAACAACATTGATTCAAGTCCACAGATGTGCAATGTCCAAGTTATTTTGAGTTAAGTGCTTTAAATGCGCTGAGCAGTCAATAATGCGGGATTACAAATAATGAGGGAGCCAACCTTTACTAAAACATCATACTTGCTAACACAGGAAAGCAGATAAAATGCATCAACTAAAAGGTTTCAAAACTGTCTTAACAGATGAAATTAAGTGCAGGAAATCAGTATATAAAACCTGAAGGCTGAAGAAATAACTCGTACACTGTAAAAATTAACCTGGACATAAATTCCCGAGTATTTTTCCTCTCTGTGGTAAGTACCTGGCTGGATTAACGTTACTATCTATGTGCTGCCTTTTTACATCTCCACACTACTCTTATTTCAGGAACTTAAAAATATAAAGGAAGCTACATTTTTGCAAGACATTTACTTTGTGTTCTTCAGGAGTCCCTTTTTTGACCCAGGTTTTTCCTAGATTTTCGAAATAACTCCGTATGTTGGTACTTTTAACAGCCACAGGTAGAATAAGAGTTCAAAGAGTCTGTGTAGTCCAGCAGCCTGCTTGGTGGTATTTTACAGCACTATTAAATATCTCACAATAAAGGCTGCTCACAAATGATGTTACAGTGGGTGGAATAAACATCTGAAGCTACATCTAAGTTGCTCTACAGAGCTGTTTGGAAGGAAAACATCATCACAGTGGTCTCAAAATCTCAAAAATGGTCAAAAATTCTGTTCAGAGAAAATGTACTGTTTTCTTTCTGAAAATGATATGTAGGCAGGCTTTCCTGAGAAAAGGATCCATGCCTTAAACTAACAGATCTGCACTGATGTTTTCCTGCAACAGAGTAAGCTTTTTTAAAGAGTCCTTTTGTTAGCAAGTGAGCTTTTAATACTGGAGTTTTTAATCACTGTTAGAATTGCAAGAAACAAAAATACCACAGTGTGTCAATAACATGGACACATTGGCAGAGCTTTGTTTTATTGAAATAAAAACATAATTAACATTGGGCCTCAGCCAACAGGAAATCCTCAAGGGAAAGTGAAATGTTAACTAAGCTGTGGCAGGATGCAGTTGTTTTCCCTCAAAATAAACCTATAGCCATTTGGATGGCAGAAACTGTTTTCCTTGAAGTTGTTTGGTCTGTGATAAATATCTACAATACAGACAAACAAAGATATTGGAACCTTATGTAGGTGAGAAATAAAATTAGGTAGAAAAATGAGATTGTTTACTCAATAGTTACTACTTAAGTCTGCTAATAATAGAATATAAAGCTTTAGAGGAATGCATGTGCATAAAAGGGAGGGTTATTTACATATATATACACGCATGGGTCACCTGTAACCCTTAACCTTTCAAGTCTTCATTTTCTAAAATGTATTGCAGTTCATGTGGTGGAGCTCTGTTCCTCTTGTATTGCTCAGCATTAGAGAAGCTCTTATTTGGCTTTCAAGCAATGAAATTAACCTTGTGTGAAAGAAAATAGAGGGCAGATTTCTCAGCATCACCTGGCTGTCCCCAGAAATTGGCTATTAAGAGCTGAGGACCCACAACAGGATTTTAGGAGCATGCTAAAGGAGTTTAAAACTGGTGTGGTGTCAAATTCACTCTGCTGAAACTTAGAGGTAAGGAAGACATATCACTTAGATCCTCTGTTTCACAGAAATTATGTGCTATGAATGACACATAAATTGCCACTGAGACAACAGGACTGAATTATAACAAGAATATAGATGTTCAGAGCTTTCAGAATTTAGAACTGCTTCAGATCTTTGAAACTTAAGCTCTTTATCCTCTAGACTGTAAATTTTGACCTACAATCTCCATAGGGAAGCCTATGTTATCACTGGTTGTTCCTTTGCTCAGCTGGAGGATGGGTGATTGGAACCCTGCCAGTCTTGACCTACCCAACAGGAACAGGAAAGCATCAAGCCCACTCCTCAGTGTTTGGAGGAAGGATCTGATGCTGTTTAGGATCCAAAAATCTCTTTTAATCAACCCTGTCTGCAAAACCTTTCCTCACTTCTTATTCCCCTTGTATCAAGAGATGAAAATTTACTCTAAATCAAAACCACTAGCTTTCTGCTTGTCTTTTTAAACAGCTCACCCATGGTGTGGAAGAAAACTCCTGTAACTAGAAAGGACTCTGTTTATCACATTACCTACCCTTCCCTCCCCCCAGAAGAAATGAAACTTAATATTATGCATTTTTATCAGTGTGTACCAGCAGCTGCTTCACATCAATAACTTATAAATTTAGAATTAAAAGAATTTTCAGAACTTCTGGGGGTGGGCGACAACTTGAATAATAAGACTGTAACTTGGCCTCCATTTCTAAAAGATATTATAAACTTGAAACCCCAAAGGGACTGCTGCTCCTCTGTGAACAGCTACACTTGAGCTGCACAGCGAAATTCAAATTACAGAATCGTAGCATGGTCTGAGTTGCAGAGGACCTTAAAGATCATCCAGTTCCAACCCCCTGCATGGGCAGGGACACCTCCCCCTAGACCAGATTGCTCCAAGCCCCATCCAACCTGCCCTTCAACACTTCCAGGGATGGGGCAGCCACAGCTTCCCTGAGCAACCTGTTCCAGCATTTCATCACCCTCACTCACATTAAAGAATTTCCTCCTAATATCTAACCTAAATCTCCCCTCAACTGCTTTGCTTTCTGGATGCCTGCGCCATCTCAGCTACACCAGACCTCCCTACTAATAAAGGAACAGAATCCAGGGTTCCTTCTTCATTATATTCCCTGAAAACAAAGCACCACCATGACCCATGCAGAAGACAAAATGCCAGTGGTAACAAGCGGTTCAAGTCTTGTACGATTTTAGATGAGCACTTAACCTGAGCCCTATGGCACAGCCTCAAATGACACAATCATGCTTTGCATGGAAATGTTGCAGGTGAAATTTTGCTGTGGATTACAGGATTCTTGACTCCCTCGCTGCAGAGATTGGAAAGGCATAGCCAACAACAGGGAACTGGAGTAGGAAAAATAAGGCTGAACAGCATGACAACAAAACTGTAAGCCCCTGACTGTGTCATAGCAAAGCTGCTCATTACTTGCATCTCATCTTTCAGCTGTCCCAGATGGGACATGATTTGTAGATGTTTAAAGTCTGTGTAAATTTCCACAAAGACCAACAGGATATTGCTCTACAGCTGCTCTGTGCTACACACAGTTAAAAATAGGTCTCCTGCACTTTGAATGGGGAAGCTAATAAGGTCATTTCAAATGACATTTTTTGCTCTCTCTATCCAAGATAAGCACCAGACTGGCCCTGCTCAGGCACAGGCAAAAGTGAAAATGTGCATAATAAAGACGCAGGGATCTGCTTCCATCTGCAAGTTCAGCAATAATCCTTCAAAATGTTTCCATGTATGGCCTTAATATCTGTACCTGTGTATACAACTGTAAACATTTTTAAGCATAAATACACAAAAAAACCCCTAATGTATGCCTTCAATAACTTGATCTACACTTTAATCGTATTTTGTACTGTCTTCAGTATGACTCAGTTTTCCTCTTTCATGCCATCTCAAGTATATTCTAAGAGTTGGTTTTGCTTCAGTATCTTAGAATCTTCCTAATGAACATTTCTGCAAGATGCACAACACTGTCATTTTAACCTCATCACGTGGTAGCTGGAGTGGATGGTTACAAATTAATAAGCAGTTCTCTGACTGAATAAACAGATCACTTCAAAGAAACCCTTCCTTTGCTACCATCTATTCTCCAGAGAAATCACTGGAGATCAACACCAGTTTTGAAATTCCATTTGCCAAATCGGCAGGATTCATAACAGTTACGTTTTCCTCTGCAAGGACTTAAGATTATTTGAACAGCATTAACAAGAAATTGCTGGATATGAACAGTTCCAGAAGCACAGATGTAAACATCCAAAAATCAGCTTAATGAAAGTTAACCCCTCCAAAATTCCTCACCAAAACCAAACAAAAACCTTCTTCCATGATACCACCACTGCAATTAAAAAAATGAATTGCCAGTTCCATGGGTAAAGTTTTGGATTAAACATGGATTAAATGAGTTTAAGGTAAATTAATGATACACCACATATGTTAGACTGACCAAGTACAAACCTGTTTGAGGATTTCTCTTCCTGGAGCACATCATTTTATTAAAACAGACACTCTCAACTGTTAAAATATTTGACCAGAGTAGGGAACACGAGACTATTTTTACACAGACATTACAGTAAGTTTGAATTATTACAAAACATCAAGGAGAAAAAATGATGGAAATAAGAGAAGTAGAACAAATCCCACTTGGAGGAAAACACAGTTAAAAAGTTAATATTTAGCCATGACCAAGATGAAACAAAACCTTGGAGAGAAAAATCAGATGAAGAATTTCAAAGAGTATTCCAAGATTAGATTTATTTTGAGAAGTCTGTGGTCATGATGTAGAGCAGGGCTGCTACTAACTTTTATTTCAATCCTTCCCCCCTAACCATTTTTCTCATTTTTCCCCATTTTTACTCCTTGTGGCCTATCTACAACAGTACTCAATTTGATTACAAAAAATTTTAGATGGTTAAAAACTTGACTTTGGAACACAGCTGAAGTTAGAGTAACTTTTCCCAGCCACCCTGAATATTAACATCTTTAACCAATCCAGCTTTACGAGAATCACATGAAACTCCAAGATACTACTCGTGCTCAAGACCTGAAGTATGGAAGAGAACCATTTCTTTATAAAAGGCAACAAACAGAAGACAGAGTCAGTAACAGCCTAGATTCATGCAATTGTTAAAAAACATCTGTTGCCAAGAGATACGGCTTGCAAAAAAGAAACAGATGCATAGTGTCTCAACAAGAACAAAGGCTGAGCAATGGTAACAGAAGACAAGAGAAAAAAGGTTAGCAAAAAGACCTCAAACTCTCCAATGGCTGAATTAAAAGAAAATGCAAAGTAAGCACGGAAGACCTGAAGAAATAAAACACTTCAACAACCTCAGGATCTATTGCATTTTTTACCAGGCATTGTTTCAAGCCTTTCTTACATTCACTGGAACTAGGAAGGGTGTGCACCAGGTTGCAGTGGTTCTGTCCTCGAGTCAAGCAGTTAGCACTGCTTCAGAGTAAAAAACCAAACTTACTCTATGATACAAAATCAGGATTCTGTCCTTACTGTGTAACTACACACTGATGAGGCCAGACAGCATTCAGTAATCAGCAGTGCTGTAAAAGTATCTTATAAAACTATTTTCATACCTGGACCAAGCAGCGGGGACCGGTTCGGCTGGGCACTTGACTGGTGCGACGGCTGAGGTTCAACCATATTTGTGTTGATAATGGTGCTAGTGGTGGTGGTATTGGTTGTGGTACTGCTCTGAATGATAGGATTATTTCTATCCCACATGTTTACAGTCTTGTTGTTGTTGTAATTTGGGTCGCCCCAAGCTGAGGTACCATCATCGATTTCCATCTTGCGGCGAATGGAGGGTGGGGATGGCTCTTCCCAGCCAGTTGCCTCACAGTTCTCTTTTTGTTTGGCTGGCACTGGCCCACCAACCCACCCTGACCCCGTCTGTTTTACAGAAGCAGCTCCGCCCCAGTTACTCACGTTGTTGTCCTGGGGTTTATTAGCCCAATTTTGCTGGGGGCTTGGCTTTAAAGATTCCCCCCAACTTGTACCTGTATTAGCCTTGCTGTTTGTGCCATTTCCCCACCCACTGGTCCCAGACCTTGTGGAATCATTCCAGCCAGACCCCGATCTATTGTCAGAATCCCATCCAGATCCATTCTTCTTCCCATCACCCAAGTGTCCAGGAACAGATGATGAATCTGTCCAATCTCCACCTCCTGAAGTCCAGCTTGAATTTGATTTCTGTCCATCTCCCCAGTTTTGAGATTTGGGTTTCTGAGGTTCACCCCAGGTAGGTGATTTGTCCTCCTGGTTTGCGGTCCCACTCCAAGCGTGGCCGCTTTTGGCAGCAGCAGCATTATTAACAGTAGTAGAGCTTGCTGACTCTCCCCATCCCCCTGGGCCATTTGGTGCTTTGTTGTTATTGTCTCCCCAACCTGTATTTGTTGGAACAGCTGCCGGTGGAGAGTTGACCCACCCAGATACTGAAGAGGTATTTGTACTGTTCATGATGGACCCATCGTTCTTCCCCCCTGAGTTTGAAGATTGAGTAGCTGCACAACCCCAGGCCTCTGTTCCATTGTCATTCTTTCGTTCAGACCTTGGGGACTCTTCAAATTCCCAGGCAGTGTTTTGCTTTACAGGGGTTTGTCCCCACCCCGTATTGGACAGGACCCTGGGGTCAAGGTCATTTCTTGGCAACTGAACTTGCCCTTGGTCTATCATCCCTTTGTCTCTCCTCCTGCCCTCTCCAGCCCCCTCCCTCCCAGTACTGCCTTCATTTTGACTTCCACCGCTGTCATTACTTCCTTCACTAGCTGTGGTGCCAGATGCAGCAGTTTTGGCCCAAGAGTTCATTTGTTCATTGCCCTGCTGCATGGCAGGATTCGGACTGGCAACACTCGAGCTATCCCACCCTGTTGATCCTTTCCCATTGATGTCGCTGTTGGAATGCTGGTTTGGGGGCTTGCCCCATTCCCCGTTCACACCATTACTGGTGTTACGGTTGGGGTGGCCCCAAGCTCCAGAATGCATACTACCAACACCACTGCTGCCACCACCCCTGCCCCATGCTAGTACCCCAGGACCAGAAGGAGGTCCTGAATCCCAAGCATTTGCTCCGTTTCCTTCCTTTTGCGCAGCACTGCTGGATCCGTTTTGTTTAGCACTTAATGCTGAGTTCACAGTGTCTCCATTCCCCTGACTGAACCCAGAATTGCTGTTTCCTGTGGCAGGATTACCTGGGGACATCCCCCACACTGAACTGCCCATTCCTTCACCACTGCCCCCACTGACTTGAGAAACTGATGTTCCATTAGCACCAGGAAGGCCTTGCAGGTGGGGCGGGATGATGGCCCCCATACCAACAGCCATCCCCCAGTTCGGCAGTCCATTCGTCTGCATTGCATTGATAGGGTTTGGTGAAGAGTTCATGGGGTTAGTGTTATTTGGTCCATCAGTGTTAAGGTTCTGAGGTTGTACGCTGAAAGACACATTCTGAGAAGTGGACGTTTGTGGTTCTGTGCTCTCTTGCGGCAGCAAGTTTCCCCAAGCACCCAAAGTGCTTGTTGGGTTCCCATTCTGGTTGCCCATGTTCTGACCTATGGCACTGACTGGACTGCAAATACTGGAAGGGTTGCCTGCTCCCACAGTTCCTTCATGTCCGAGTACAGGCCAGGCAGCTGGATTGGCATTAGGGTTAAGGTTAAGATTAATGCCAGCATTCGAGTTGGAAGCACCCCAGCAGTTCTGACTTCTACCATCTCCCATCATGTTGTCCATCTTTCCATCCCCACCACTGGCAGAGCAGTGACCTAGGCCAGAGCCAGAGCCTGCAGCCACCCCCCACGCTCTGGCCGAGTTGCCGTTACCGTTTGCTCCACCAGCTCCAAGGGCACTCTGGTTAGAAGTGCTTTGGACGAGTGCTCCGTTGGCGCCATTATTGCCATTAGTTTTCTTTGTATGTCCAGTGAAGTTGCCTTGGGCACTCCCTGTAGCCATGCTACTGTTCTCTGAGCCACAGTTGGAGGCAGAGTCAGTGTCTGTAGTACATTCTGAGGCAGACTCAGTCTCAGCTCCGGTAATGGAAGGCCACGCTTCCTTGTCAGTCCTGTCTATTATCACTTTATCCCAGCTGCAGTTGCCTTCACTCCTGAAAGCTGGCTGCTGTCCCCAGTGGGAATTCTCATAATGGTCTCCCAATCCACTGTGGCTGAGATCTGAAAGGATTTAACAAGGTTAAAAATTAGTCCACTGTTCAAGCACTGCAAAAGCCCTCTATTAAACGCTATTTTACACTGCTAGTCACAACACTGCATTCTGCTAACACTTAGAGTACATTCTGTAACATAATACAGCAATTTTCCTCTCTAGAATAAAACACAACGGTCATATTTAGTTTTGGGGTTTTTTTTTGTTTTGCTTTTTTTAATCTGGAAAGCTCTCTATTAAAATAATGGAGTTATTCCATTTTAGAAAAGAGCAATGCAAGTGTTTTGAATCCCTAAGTAAACAAGTAAAAATAACAGGCAGGCAATAAAGGAGGACAGCAACTACACTCATCTGTGTGAAAAATCTGAAAAGCAGATTTGGAAAAAACACAAAAGATATTCTAAGCAGACTCTTCCCATTTATTTTTATTCAATTCTCGCTCTTCAGAGAAACACAAAGAACATCCAATTAAAAAAAAAAGTAGAAATGTCTGCCTGTCACTAGACATTACACACACACTCACATCATACTCAACACACTATATTCATCCTGCATTTACATTTTCAACCCTTTCTGTAAATGAAGGAGGAAATCTGGACAGACTCCTTTACTATTTGGTGTTAATTATACATTTAAACACCACTACTGGAATTTACACTCTAGCAGAGAATTTGGGCATTTCTAAATAGCAGACTCTTTTGTCAAGAAACTCATCTCTGAAAGGATTGATGTGTGGCTTAAACTTTCTTTTGCACTTGCACATACAGTCCAGTTTCCCCCTAAATCCATGAAAATCAATGCTATATTGTACAAATAGCCAGAAGACACCCTTTTCAGAGCACCACCCACATCAAACACAAATATTAATCCAAAACAATAAACAAAAGCTCTTGAGCATCTATCTAACTGCTTGCTGGGGTACAAAGTAAAATTGGAAGACAACACTTCTCATGCTAAGTTTTTTGCATGACCTCGCCATCCCACTTGCTCTCTACAAGATTTCTAGTACAGATTACTCCTTTTAATTTCTTTTGATACAAACTTCATAATAAGCAGCTCAGTCTGATCCTAGGGATATGTATTAGTGACCACCTGCAGAAGAGTTCCTCTTAACTGGTTTTCTAAATAGGGAGAAAATTTCAGATACCTAAGTTAGGAATTTTGCTGAAAATCTGCACATTACCTTTTTTTCATTATTTTAATAAAAATAATGTTTTGTGGGGAAGACAGATGCAACAAACCTCCCAAATAAGCTGTTAAAAGTGGATGCCTAATACGTACTTAATTAAATCACAAATATTTTGGTGCGATTAGCTCCTCTAACTGCCTCCAATTACAGGTGTTCTCATACTGCAGAAAATTGTTCCAGGAATAAAAAAAGCTCTCTCTCTGACATAGTCTTCTTATTCACACATATCACCTGTAGCTTTTCAAGGAAGAAGGGGGGTGATTACTTGGTTGCCTCATGAAAACTCATCAGGATAAGAGAAAGAACACACTAAACCAGGACAAATTCCACCTTGTCTTTTTTTTTTTCCTTCCCAATTTAAACAAACTTAAACAAAAATGTGAATGCTAGAGAAAAGGAAAAGCAGTCTTAGCTCATCACTTATCTTTTCATGATGCCAGGAAAAGCCTACCATTTCACAGGAAGAGCAAAAAATTGACATGTACACAACAAATCCAAAAAAAGCATGTGAAAGGAGCCACTCAGGTTTACCTGGATTCTCCCCTCTACATGCAATGGCTGGAAAGGAAGAAAGCATCAGGTTGTTCCTGGATAAAGCTGACAGGTCACATTGCAGAGCTGAGAAGGAAGGTTGAAAATTTACCTGACAATTTGTGTTTGCTGTACAGGTGTTAGAGACCAGAATCCCAGATTAGACATGAGAGGTGAAAGAAAGCCTGTGAAATTACTTTAAAAGGGTCAACAAGGTCAGAAAAATGAGCCAAGCAGCATCCTCTGCAGAGCAGAAATGAACAAAGGAAAAAAGCGGCAGCAGGCCAGGCCAGGAGATAAGAAGTTGAGGCAACCAAAACATCAGATAAGAGGAGTTCTGTGAGATTCTTCTCAACACTGTGGGCGGTGAGATTCGACACTACTATTCAGAGATGACAGAAAGATTTTAAAGTGGCTTAAAACACACTGTTCCAACAAAAAGGACTTGTCAAAACCAAAACTGAAGCCACCTGTGGGAGAACGATGGTGCTGCCTATGGCCAGCGAGTGTGTCTGTGCAGGGCAGGTTTAAGGATTAAGAGCCCAGCACAAGGTGTCTCAAAACTCACAAAAATGGCACTATCAAGATGAGATGAAAGTGAGCTGCTTGTTCGATCATTCTTTTTTTATTCTTCTCTCCTGCAAAGATGGTGTTAAACCAATTCTCAAGTTTGAGAGTGCTTGGGGGACAGAAAGTAAAGAAAAAGGGGTGTGAATGGAAGAGGATGAAACAGTTTAGAAAGATTCCTGAGAATAGGGAGCAAAATGGTTCTTTAAATAAGACACCAGGATTTTGAAGAGCAGTCAAAGAAACAAGAAGAAAAAAAAAAATTATGAAGGGGAAGAAACATGAGGACCAAGAAATAATCATGTCAGAAGTAGAAAATAGCAGCTCCTTTTACTGAGGTGGAGATTATTCCCCCAATGACAAGCACAGACTAACCAGAAAGTGGTTACTTTGTCAGGGATTTTTTTATTTTTTTTTAAGGTGACATAAAATAATCAAGGCCCCCCTGGAGCAGCAGTGCACCTGTGCTGTGCCTTCCCTGCTCTGGAGCCAGGGGGATCACACTGGTACCTCTCACAAAAAAAGAAGAGCAAAAACAGACATGTAATAACTTCACAGGTCCAAATAATTACTGAAACAATTGGTTCTAACACCAAAGGCTGCTGCTCTAAAACTTAAACAGGATAGATAAAGAGAATGAAGAAAGTTCACAATACAAACAGAAAGCTGCAAAACCTGTGACTTTGCTGCGGGACAAACATAACAGTTTGAGTACAGAACTGATGCTGAACAGAGGACTTTTTACACTCTTGTCTCTGGAAGCAGATAACCAAGATATTTTTCATTTCCTCTAGATTAAAAGAAATTAATTCCATAATCAAATAACCAAAGAGTAGCACAGTCTTACTTAATTGATAGGAATTTAAGTATTTGGGGAAAACAATGAAAGCAATTAAATTAAGAAAATTTTAATTTGGTTGTGTTATTTTAAACACAGAAACTTTCCTCCAACTTTCTAGGAAACCAACTCTTCACAAAAAATGCCAATATTTTCTTTTCAAAGCTGTTAAAGACTGAAAGGGTAAACACATTTTAAAAATTACTTCTTAAGAATCAGTTGCCCTTTATTTATGCAAAGGTCAGAAATAAAGCACTGCAGCTCACTAGAAGCATTTCTACCCTTCCACTGTGACATGAGCAAGGATTTTAAGCAAAACATCAGGAACAGGAACCACTGGTATTTTGTGGTAGCAAATCTTAGTGTTGGTAGACTGCAAAGTGAAACTGATTTTAAATTAATATTTTGAGTTTTAAAACCTTAATTACGCATCTTTTAAAAAATACAGTTCCCTTGATTAACAACATTTCTTCAGCAATCAGGAAAGTTAATCTGAGAATAGCTTAAATGGGTTTTAAACTAGTGTACCACTTCTGTTAAATTGCAATCCTACATGCCACCTGAAAAAGGCACAGCTCTGATCAGTGTTCGCAATAAACATGAGCAGTAATTTTTTAGTAATATACTTAGTGGGGTAGGAGGAGATTGCTGCTGTTACTATATACTATATACCTCACCAACTTCAATTTAGTACTTACTAAAAATGGAGAACTGTTTTGGCTGTGTTTGATAATGAATATGAAAAATTAGTTATAAAATAAGTTTAAGTTTTAAGTTTTATGACAAAGTATGAGTGAAAAGTGAGAAGCTGTTGCATGCAATTCCTAGGAGAGCAAAACACTCTGCCTGCACAAGCAGTTCACCCAAACCTTCAATCCTCTTCTGAAAATGTCATTTACAATAATATATTTCATTTTTATTCTGCTGAGTTAAAAGCAAGTATCTTCAGAATTTCATTACTGTAATTAGTTAAAATGCTGAGCAGTACAACTATGCATCTTCAACTGTAACACTCAGTTGATTTAGGAACCAAAGCATGGAGAGGGTGCAAAATGGCAAAGCCTGGGAGAAACTTTTAATGACAACCACATTATTAATAAATTTTGCTCATCCAATTTTAAATCAGATACAACAGTGATTCTCCCTCTTTCTACTATTTTTCAATTCATGTTAGTAACAACCACTATTGGCTCATCCTGTCGAGCCCACAGGATTGATTACAGACAGTGGGGTTGTTTGCTTTGACGTGCAGAAGAAGGAAAAATCCCAAAGGCCACTGACACTCCTACTGGGAATTTTACTTGTCACACAAAGGTTAGTGACTGAGTAAGAAGGCAAGAAAAAATAATTACTTTATTTCCCCAGAAAAAACAGTTTTCATTTCAACATGAGCAGATCTTTAAAAGACTACATATTAATTTTTTCTAAATGGGTTAAACAGGCACCGCCAGAAAACATTTTAAGTGCTAGATCAAATGTAGGCTAATTTCACAAGAGAAAAAGAAAAGATGAGACAAACATCTATTCTGAAGAACAAAATATAATTAAGTAGAAAATCTGGGAACTGTAGTGCTAATATTTTAGGTTACCTGTTCCACACAGCTCTATGCACAAGCTGTCTGAGGACAAATTTGAGAACTGTCACCTATTTGAAGTCAGTTACAA